TATATGTCTGCCGTTAAGAAAGTAGACAAAATCGTCCCTAACCCTAAAGGCGGTTCATGATTCAGCAACTAAAATGACACGATGGACTCCATGTCACTATTTATTTTCCATATGTAATAATAAATAACTAAATCCACTTAAATTAGTCTTCTCCTTCTCTAATTTTCTAGATTCAAGGCACAAAGATTTAACCAATTCTAATTTAAATAATAAGTTGCAGCTTTGAATAGTTTCAGCATTCCAATGTTAGATTCTTTATTCTATTCAGTCCAAAACAGATCAAAAATTCCCGAAACGATTCTCACCCGAATGAGAATCGGGTGGGGCTGTTTTTTTCTTTTTCTGTGTCCCTCTTTCTGTCTCTCTTTATTTTTTTAAAGAAAAATTTCGCTTACATCAAAAATTGTAAGTGGTCTATTAGGCAATTGTATATAAGTGACAAACTGACAATTGCTATAACATTTTTATCTTTCTTTAAGAAATTAACTTGTTTAATTTGAGAAAATGCAGTACCTTTCATTTATTTGGGTTTCGATTTGGCTTTCATGGTCGACTCTTCAGTTATACTTCATATTTACAATTCTTTTCTTTTCTGTCGAAAGTTATTTTTTCCAAAATTTATTGGATAATTTGGATTTATTAAGAAAAAATGACTGTTCTAGTTTATTCAGAATTGTCTGTAGTTTCTAATTAAGGGAAGCCAGATGAAGGTGACAGTAAATAGGCCAATACATACTGTAATTGCTTTGTCAGGAAAACTCAATTTTGACTAGTGCATGGGTTATGTGATACACTCAAGTCATACCGGTTACAAAATCAATATTCCAACTAAAATAATTTAGAGGGTTTAGTTATTTATTATTACAGATGGAAAATAAATAATGACATGGAGTCCACCGTGTCATTTTAGTTGCTGAGTCATGGACAGCCGTTAGGGCTAGGGACGATTTTGTCTACTTTCTTAACGGCAGGCATATATTTGGAATAGGGACAATTTTGGCCTTTTTCCCCATAAAATAGGATAATGAATATGTCAAGTATACAAGGGACTTTTTATATAGTTTATCATAATGGTTATATTTGTGCATTTTCAAATCCAATGTTGTCGAATTAGTTATGAACTATTTCTTCTTATTTTATAGGTACATACAAGGTAACAGTTGACTATGGCAAGACTTATTTGCTCCGAATGGTGAACGCTGTAATGAACAATCAAATGTTTTTCTCTGTGGCAAATCATCAAATCACAGTAGTAGGATCAGATGCTGCCTATTTAAAGCCATTCAAAACAGATTATGTCATAATTTCCCCTGGACAGACCATTGATTTATTACTTGAAGCAAATCAACCCCTTAACCACTATTACATGGCTTCAAGAGCTTACAGTAGCAACCCTGGAATTGGATACGATAACACAACCACCACCGCCATCCTCCAGTATCGGGGAAATTACACCCCGTCTTCACCACCATCTCTCCCGAATCATCTCCCTAATCACAACGATACGAATGCATTTGCTAGTTTCAGGGGGAAATTCCTGTTTTTGGCTAATAAGGAACATCCAATGAACGTGCCATTGAACGTTACAATAAATTTGTTATTTACATTTTCTGTTAACACATTGCCATGTGCTAATGAGTCATGCCTTGGACCAAATGGAGATAAATTTGCAGCTAGTGTGAATAATATAAGTTTTGTTATGCCTCAAATTGACATACTTGAAGCTTATTATAAGCAGATAAATGGGATTTATGGAGATGATTTTCCTAGTGTTCCACCTTTGAAATTCAACTACACAGGGGATTCATTACCTGTGGAATTTCAAAGAGTTGATAGGAAAACAGAAGTGCATGTTCTTGAATATGGATCAACGGTGGAGATTGTTTTGCAGGGGACTAATCTATTGGGTGGAGTTGATCATCCCATTCATTTGCATGGATACAGTTTTTATGTGGTTGGTTGGGGTTTTGGAAATTTTGATAAGGAGAAGGACCCTTTGAATTATAATGTTGTTGATCCTCCTCTTCAGAACACTATTGCTATTCCTAGGAATGGATGGGCAGCCATCAGATTCACAGCCAATAATCCTGGTATGATCACATTTATTTTAACATATTTGTTGTCATTATTACATATCTCCTACGATTTATGTGGCATTATTTGACTGAACTCAAATTTAAGAAAGAAAAAATAGATTTTTAAAATTTATGATCTTAAATATGTATACATGATATTTATATTGTTGTAAAAGGGCATTTCGTTAATGAAAAAATAAAAAATTAAAATTAAATGGTGCAAACAAAAAAATATTGTCATTCTTTTGCAACAGGTTAGTTAATAAGGAAAGAGTGACATATGAAATAGGACAGATGAAGAATTATTTAGGAGTTATATTCAATTTCAAAAATGTAATGATTTTATTTTGGTGTCTGTGTTTGCCTATTTTAGTGTATTATTGCTCTATTAAAATTTGACATGCATGAAAAATGGTTTTGCTTAATGGTAAGTATGATATAAGCCATTTAAGTATTCAAGTTGTTGAGATTGAAAGGAAGAATTAACTTATATATATTGATAGTATAAGGAATTTTTACTTCATCACAGTAAATTAATTTGTGTACATTATATATAATAGAATTATTACCAATTTTTGTTACAAATCAATATTTTTCAAATAGAGTTACCTGCAATAATTTCCACACAATCAGTGCATATAGACGTTACACCAAATTTTTACTGCCAAACGTTAAACCAAATTTTTGGTAGGGAGCGCTTCTCCCCAAAAAAATATAGTCCAAAAACGAAAAAAATCTTTACTGCCAATTTCACATGGTGCCGTACTTAGACTTCTTCTTTTTCTTTTAATTGGTTGATCAGGTGTGTGGTTTATGCACTGCCATTTCGAGCGTCACATAAGCTGGGGAATGGATATGGCATTCATTGTTAAGGATGGAAAAAGCTTGGATGAGAGACTTCTGCCTCCACCTCCAGATATGCCCAACTGTTGATTCCATTAATTAATCTTAGAATATATACAACTTATTAATTTTGAGAGTCCCTAAAAACATTAATTGTTCAGCGATTTAATTTATTTGTTTGTTCTATAACGTAGCTTTGGATTATCTATGATATTGCTTTTACAATGTTTACTAAATGTATAATGGGTCATTAATAAACGAGAGTCTTGTTACTTTTATGAATTTTCTTGAAGAAGGTTCGCGTTAATTTAGTGATAATTAATTTTGAAAAACCACCACTGATTATTAACATTTCCTAATTAGTAAAAATCAAGTCACTAAATCAAAATACATCTTGGAAGTAAACCTAGTAAGAAGATGAATAAAATCTCCCATTTTGAGTTAATAAGATTGAGCAGTGAACGTCGAGAGTTCAAAAAAAAAGAAGGTAGGATTAACCCAAACAGCCGTCCACCCGATGTTTAAACTAAAAATAGTTGGAGAATATATAATATATTCTAATTGTATATAATTAGTGTAAAATTCATGTATACTGGCTATGAAAAGTAAACAGTGAATTTGAGCGGTTGTTTATGTAAAGAAACCTGGATAATTTAGTGACTGTTGGGCCGATTCCGATCCATCCTTTAGTGGACTTGTTCAGCCCGGTTAATGAGCTGAATTTAGGGAAAAGTACAGAAATAGCCAATTTAAATACAAACTTACCAACCTCTAGCCCAAAATTAGACACTTACCAAAAGTAGCCCAAAATTAGATATACACGTAAGGAAGGATTCTTCTATCCGAGAATCACGCTAAAGATCTTCCTTCCTTCCCTGTTTTTTCAAGCGTATCAATTTAACAGATCACGACATTCTCTACCTCTGTAAATCACAGCATTCTCTCTCAAAAAATTCTCAAAAGGAGCTCCAAATTTCACTCAAAATCGATCAATTTCACTATATACCTTCGCAATTTCTGTGTGGATACAGCTTTTGCAATTTCTGTGTAGAAGGAACTACGAACTGCAATCAAAATCAATCAAGGAATTAGTGAGTTTTGACCTAATTTTAGCTACTTCAATGGCAAATTTATCAATTTTTATTCAGTATGGTGGCCGATGGAATGTTGACAACAGCTTTGTAGATTATAATGCAGATGCTGTAATAGTTACTCCAAATATAAGTTTTGAAGATTTTGTAGACGTGATTTCGAAACAACTTATAATAGAAACTTCATTGGATGATATTGAAATCAAATACACTGTCCAAAACAGTTCTCCGCCAATAGTGATACACAATAGTATGGGTGTATGTGTATATCTTGAGCTGAAAAAAAAGCTCAGAATTTACAATGTATCCCCTTTGTATAACATCGAGTGAAAAGGATATGGACATGATCTGCTACAATTTCAATTCTGCTGTGATTTCCTCAGAATGTGCACAAAGCTCATTTGTAGAGGAGAGATACAATGGCGATACAATTAAGATGATCGAGTTTGGGGATGGAGAAGACTGGAATGATACAGAATCTGATGAAAACAATAATAACTGACCCTCAACACATAGATGCAGAAGAAGGTCAAATTTATAAAGACAAGGCAACGATAGTCAAATTCATGAGGCACTTGGCAGTAAAGGAAAAATTTCAGTTTAAGGTGCATAGATCAAGTGAAAGCAGGTATCAAAATATTTATTGTATAATTATGTATCTCAATGTATATCGTAGTTGATGTTAGAAGCATAATTATGCAGAAAATAAGTTGCTGCTTGTAAGTATGCGGCTGTACACTTTTAAGTTGTGGTTGTCACCGTCTAGTACTGTATAGTCGTTGTATTTTTTCATCTAGTATTGTTGATAGCAGTGTGTATCACTATATATCATTGTATTTCATGTCGCTCTGTTTATTGATGGAAAAGTTTATATCCTTGTCGTAGGTACTGCCTAACATGCATCAACAACAACTGTGATTGGTATTTTAAGTCTTCGAGCCTGAAAAAAAGCAAATGTTTTCAAGGTCAGAAATTTTAGCAAAGTGCACTCATGCCCCCTAAAGACAGATCTTACGCACAACGTCAAGCTACTGTAAAACTCATCGGCAGTCTTCTGATAGACAAGTATAAATACCCAAAAATAATATACACTCCTAATGACATAATTGGAGACATGAACAAGCAGTATGGTCTTCAGATGACATATATGCAAGCATGGAGATCGAAAGAATATGCAGTTCAAGTACTGAGAGGGAACCCGAGCGAATCATATGAAAAGCTGCTAAGCTACATTTATATGCTGGTTCTTACAAATCCTATGTCGGTGGTAAGTTTGAAACAACCAGAGGAAGACTTGTTCATGTATGCTTTCGTTGCACTATATCCGTCTATAAAAGGATGGCAGTATTGCAAACCGGTTGTTGTTGTAGATGTAACCTTTCTTAAATCGGCATATAAAGGAACATTATTGATAGCATCAACACAAGATCCAGCAGGTAATATCCTACCACTCGCATATGCCATAGTAGATTCAGAGAATAATGCTTCCTGGGAGTGGTTTTTTGCGAGATTCAAGGATGCATTTGGGGAAATGGAGGGAATGTGCATAGTCTTGGACAGGCATGAAGGCATTGAAAATGCAGCGGCAACATTGTATCCACAGGTACCTCATTGTGTCTACATATGGCATCTATGGAATAATGTAAAAAAAAATTACAAAAAAAACCATTTGCTGCTCAAAGACATATTCTTTGCTATGGCCAAAGCATACACAGTTGAGAAGTTTGATTACCACATGGCAGAGGTAGAGAAAATTTATAAGAGGGTCAAAGATTACTTAATGAATGTTGGGTATGAAAGATGGTCCAGAGAACATTCCACTGTCAACAGAACATTGACGATGACTTCAAACATTGCGGAGTCGATCAGTGCAGCGCTCAAGGCTGCTATGGAACTCCCGGTACTGCCTTTTCTAGACTACATAAGGAAATTGATCGGACGATGGAATGTTACAAACCTAAAGAATGCAGTAGAGTCATTCACTAATCTTGGAAAAAAATATGATACAATGCTGATGGACAATCTTGAATTGTCACATCAGATGAAGGTATGACTGGAATCTGTAGATGCTTGTGCATAGAATTTGTAATCATGCCGAATTCATGGATCTGTTATATCTTGAACTCTTTGTGTGATTCTGTTAAACTAGTGTCCACCTGCACAAAAGCAAAGGCTTTCAATTTAATGTAGCATTTATGCCTACCCCACTGCTGAAATATTGGTTGGTTTGACATGATATTAAGCTATTTTGAATCTTGTAGGCTCTCTAATATATGTATTTTGAGGGCATCTGCTTTGTCACCACTAATGATAGTTGATAAATTTTGTAGGTGACCCCTTCGACGAGTTACTTATATTCAGTACTTGACAAGGGTAAGCAGAGAATAATGTTCCTAAAAGATCGAACTTGCAGCTATAGAAGCTTTTAGTTGGATGAGCTGCCATGTGCACATGCTTGGGCAGTATCAAAATACAAATACATTGATCACATTGAGTATTGCTCGGTGTACTACACCAGGAAGTACCTATTGAAGACCTATGAAATTTTAATTTATCCGGTTCCTGATGAAAGCACACGGGAAATTCCTCCAGAAGTTCTAAACGAAAAAGTCTTGCCACCAGACGTGGCTAAAACAATAGGAAGGCCAAGGAAGGGGAGGTGCAAGCCAATATCTGAAAGGGAACGAAAAAGGTTGATTTCATGTGGACAGTGTGGAGAAGAAGGTCACAACAGGAAAATTTGTAGAAATAATCCAAAGAGAGGATGAAATATGTCAAATTTAGAATTACTTGTTATTTTACTTTACTGAATATCATAGAGATTTAGAAGAATGCAATATATCAAGAACTATATCATTGTAGAATGTCATTTGAATTTTAGATATAAATAAATATTTGACCTATCATTTAAAATCGTGTTGCAAGTTTATATTATATATTTGTTTGATTAAAAAGAAGTTGTATTAGCTATGTATCATATTTGTATCATATATGTATCGCATGTGCATCACATTTGTATCATCTATGTATCTCTTGTGTATCAGCTATGTATCTCTGTGTATAGGCTCTTACTCATGCCTGTATTTGCGTAGTAACAAAGCTAACTAATGAAAAACAATCGTAGCAGCTAGAAAACTATACAAATAGTTTTAGAAATTTGCAAATAAGAGTGGCTTCATCAATACATATTTGAAAACTATGTATCATATGTGTATCACATCTGTATCATATGTGTATCATATCTGTATCATGTATGTATCATGCGTGTATCTATAAGAGACAATGTATCACAAACTACTGTATATTTTTCATATTTATAATTCACAACACAAAATCAAGGGAGAAAATACCAAAATAAACTAAACTGCAACAATCCAATATCGCACCGAAACTCATTAAACCTTTATAACAGAGCAAACATCTCATTTGCCATACAATTCTTAAAAGTATTCGTAAAATTCAAACACAAACAAATCTGATCCGTCTTACAACAATGACAACATACCAGAACACAATACAAAAACAAAACTATAGAGTTCATCCTACAACAATGACAAAAGTAACTACTTCTTCTGCTTCCGCGACTTATTCTGTCGACCAATAATCTCATCATCACTTTGCGCGTTCAGTTCCATCTTCTTTCTAGCATAGTCCCACAAGAGAGCACCAAATCTGCGCCGGTGTGCACATGCATTGAATTTTCTAGGAGGCGTCTTGCCCTCAATGAAATACTCGGCAAATGATGCCGCAAATACACCGCAATCACCGCAAAAATAAAAAGAACAACAATTATCAAACTGCAGAATCTAAAAACAAGACAGATTGTGTTGAAAGAAATTCATACGCTTCGACTTGTTGAGGCAATCCTTCGATCAGTTTTACATCAAATGGGGTAATCAAGTCTTTTGATTTGTAGACACCAGTGCGCCAATTGATATCTTTTTTGTTTAAATAGAAATGCGTCTGCACGAAAAAATGAGGCAACAACACATAATACTTGGCCATGGTCTTATGAACTTTGGCTTGATGAGCAACTCCACCGCGCATAGAGTCATACACATAAATACACCTATCCTTGAAGAACATCACAACCATTATCCAATGCCATTGTTCTGCAACATTAATTGGCATTAGGACATGCTCGGCAGTGTGCCATGGAACATTGGCATCCAAGACAAACCCCTGAATATACTCTGGAATGACATGTTTCGGAGTGCACACATCACTGTCTCAATCTGTATCAATAAACGCCTGCCACAACTCATTAATTTTCTCGTCGAAGTACCAATCTGTGGTGGTGAATGTTACAGGTAGGTCTTTGTCATACTTCCCCTTCTTCCTCAGATAATAGAACAAAACATCAATGTGCTAAAACAAAACATAACAAATAACTAATCACTAAAGGCTCGTAAGCTTTAAGCAGCTACGGTTTTTCAAACCAAAATCACAGAAAACAAAGGAAAATGAATGCTCACTGCTATCTCTTGTGCCAGGAAATAGCAATTAATAATCTGTTCTAACTTAAGAGGACTGAGTGTTCATGTGTACACTGGCTAAAGTTTAAAAAAAAATACTGCAAAAGTAAATTCTTACATACCGAGTCATCCAAGGGCTGACCATTATATGCCAAAGTGTGAAACCATTTTTTGTCTTCAACATGAAATACACCAAGATCATAAGCAGGATTGAGTTCACTAACATGCTTCGGGTAAATTTCATTCCTGGTAACATATATACACAAAAGAGTACAGTGATTTGATATAAAATAATGCTATAAGTGACAATATGTTAAAATATAAAACTGAAAAAAACTCGGAAGTTGGAAACATACTTCTTTCTGGACTTCCCTTCTTTGACCCACGCAGCAAATACATTCAACAAAGAGCTGTTAACGCCAATTTCGATTTTGCTTTGAAAAGGATGCTTAATAGCATAAATTTGCTTTTTTCCTTTCGTTGCAACAACACCAGTACTGGAACCTGAATCAAACACAGTAATGAACGGAGACTGCACGACCTTTGTAGGACATCTCTTTCTTTTTTCCATTTGCGGCGATACTTCAGGAAGTAATTTAGGATTGTACAGAACCATCTCCCCTTCCGCCTCATCAACACTTGCAGTCGCACAAACAGCACCAGTCCGAGATTCAGGAACCTTTTGTTTCTTAGATTCTTCCTCCGTCTCCCCTGCCGCCGCATCAACACTCGCAGTCGCACAAACAGCACCAGTCCGGGATTCACGAACCTTTTGTTTCTCAGATTCTTCCTCCGTCTCCCCTGCCGCCGCATCTGCAATCTCACCAATACCGCCAGCATGTGCTACATCTGGTGTGAAAGTTACTTTAGCAACAAACATGTCAACTTTCACACCAGAAGGTCCTTCCATAGTATTGACACCTAACTGATCTGCTACACTAGTATCTCTTTGATAATGTGGAACATCTTTGGCTTCACTTCCACCAACCTATTTGTTTAAAAAAGAATCGAATTATCAAAAACAACAAAGAAAAGAAAAGGGAAAAGTGCAGAATGCACAACCAAACACACCTGACAACCATCCATTTCAACATCTTCATTGCCACCAAACTCCATATTGCTCACAAAATCATTATTGTCTTGACAACCACTGGTGTCTTCCTCTGGATGTGCACCATATTTGACTTCGCTTGCACCAAGCTATTTTTAAAAAAAGGATATAGTAAGTTAACTAAAAAATAAAAAGAAATGCACAATGGAAAAGAAACACATACCTTAGAATTTATCAACTCAAAGACCTCCTTATCAGAAACATATTCCATGAAGGAATTTAACTGCTTATAGAGCTACAAGATGAAACAAATAAGAAAGATAATAGACTTTGAATATACAATTTGAACAATACTTTCAAAAAAATATATAAAAAAGACCAATACATACTTGCTTCACATCAGCTTTCAACTTCTGCAACTCACTGTCATAATCAACAAGTTGGACACCTGGCGCGTTTTTTGGCGCCTTTTTTGGTGGGACAGACTCCTTAATCTGTTTCGGGGGTGGCGTGACCAAATCATCGCTATCATTAATAGGAAGTTTTCCCCTATTACGTGATGTAAAATATTTCTGATACTCATCGGTAACTTCAACAGGCAAAGTAAATCTCCTCAGCTCTTCAATTGTCGGAGAATATTTTTAAACTACAAAGGTAACCAAAAGTGATTCAGTCCTAGATGTATCAAAGATGTATAAAAACTGTATGTTTGATGTATCACAATGCATTACAGTGTATTATAAATATATATCCCATTAAGATACAAAAGATGGTACCTTATTCCCTGTGCTGTTGAAGAAACCAATAGAGAAGTCCTCACGCGTTGGCCTGTCTGTCATTTCCCAAATCAATATGCGTGGTGTATGTTCTCCAACGTGAACAACAAACTTTTGATCAACTACAGTGCAACATTCATAGAACCACACCTGTAGTGCAAGAGGAAATCCACCATGTGACGACCCGGCCGGTCGTCTCATGAGTTACTGCTCCGTTTTCCCCATTTCTATTTCTATTTGCCTTAATTATTGGTTTTAAATGTGATCGGGTTGGTTGGCTCGGGTTCGGAAAGGTTTTGAGAAGGTTTGAGACACTTAGTCTCTTTTAAAAAGGCTTAAGTTAGAAAAGTCAACCGGATGTTGACTTATGCGTTAGAGGGCTCGGATGTGAGTTCCGATGGTTCGGATAGCTTCGGGAGATGATGTTGGACTTAGGAGTGTGATCGGAATGTGTTTTGGAGGTTCGGAGTAGATTTAGGCTTGAATTGGCGAAATTGAGTTTTTGGCGTCTTCCGGTTGATAGGTGAGATTTGATATAGGGGTCGGAATGGAATTCCGGAAGTTGCAGTAGCTTTGTTATGTCATTTGGGATGTGCGTGCAAAATTTCAGGCCATTTGGGCGTGGTTTGGTTGGATATTTTATCAAAAGTGGAATGCGGAAGAATTTAGAACCTTAGGCTTGATTTCGATGAGTTTTGGTGGTCTTGATGTTGTTTTAGGTGTTTCAAAGATTGGTACAAGTTTGAATAAGGTTACGGGATATGTTGGTGCTTTTGGTTGAGGTCCCGGGGGCCTCAGGGTGATTTCAGATGGATGACGGGGAGTTTGGAGAATTTGTGCAGCTGTTGTATTTTTTGCTGCTTCTGGTATTTCCGCACATGCGGATAGGGGACCGCAGGTGCGGCGCCGCATATGCGAAGGAAGAACCACAGAAGCGTCCAGGGGTTCGGTTGTCAGGAAACCGCAGAAGCGGCTAGGAGGACCGCATCTGCGATGCCGCAGATGCGGGAGTCTAACCGCAGATGCGGCCAACGGGGATCTTAAGTGACTTCCGCAGAAGCAGATCAAGAACCGCAAATGTGGTATCGCAGATGCGGTGAGAGGACCGCAGATGCGGGAATGTCTGG